TACTTTCCTATTAATTCATCCAGAGAAAATTATAGAATGTGGGCCTTTCAGTTAAAAAAAATTTATCCCAGTAATTCTTGTGAAAGTATTAATGTGGAAAAGGTTATAAATTAAGGTCCCTGATTATAGTGGAGAGGTCCGAGTTGATCAGTGATGGAGCTGTTCTTGTAAAAATGGATATTATTAAAAGTGTCTTAATTGGTATGACTTTTTGCTACAGTAAGTAAATGTGGAAGAAACTCCCAAAGTCAGAATAATGTTGAACTCTTCTCTGTGCTATACAAAATGATTCCAAATATTTGATAAGACTAGATGTTCACTCTTATAGGCACATCATTAACTTTTTATATATCTGTACATATTGTAATCATTTAGGTATCTCCCCAATATCTTAAGCAAAAATTTACATATTATCTTCAAACTTTAACATTTTTGAGTTATGACCCTTTATGGAAATTGCCTGATCAAATAATCTTGAGTAATAAAATTAAAAATTATTGTGAGGTTAACTTCAAACTTGGTGCCAATTTTATAAGTTAATTGTCATGAAGGCTAATATAGTTAATAGTCATTATCCATTCTTGTAAAAAAAGTTCTTCAAAAACAGGCATCTAGTTTTTTAAGGCGCTCTTGGCGAGAGCCGAGCGGCTTTCGGCTTATTAATTCTGTGCAGAGAACGAAATGACGGACCCACTTCCGTTCGGGGTGCGTGCGCATAATTCAGTATTGCATGCTTCCGCTATATAGTTTCGTTCTTCTTCCGTTTACGGGAAAGACTCCGGTGCCGGAGTGTGAAATATCCCGGATCTTTATCGTAAATAGAAAGTAGAATCTCTGACACTCACCTGTGGGTTACATAAAGTCTTCTGATACTCTTCTCCAAATAATAATCCATACTTTCAATAATTGCTGAAAACAAAATGTTTATCTCCGGTGCATTCTACTAGTGTTGTGGTGGTGAAATTCGTGCACTAGGTTTGAGCGTTTTAGCAACTCGGATTGCGGTCTGGGGAGTGTTACGCGTGTGAAACACATATGATTCGAGAAAGCACATGTGAAGACTGTCAAGCATTGACGCTGTCTGTAGAAGGAAGAAGTAAATATATAAACTTATAAACCGTATGAGTGATGAAGTATAACCTCTATTTTGATGTTTGAAACGGTAACGTATATATGCCATATCGTGCTTAGGTTCATAACGGTAGCCTAATGGCTCCGAGACGAGACGATATGTGAACTGTGTATGCTTATCAAACATTTTTGTAACACAGCATACTATTTCTGGTGTATTTATTTATGAAAGTGTAACAATTTAAGAACATGACACAACTGCCGCTGCTGTTTGACAAGAATTCGCGCCGTGTCAAAATAGTATCCAATTGGGTGTAAGGGAAATAACTCTTACGTTGGTAAAGTCGCATTGGGAAATATAATTCAAATATATTCCAAGAACATTTGTGAGATTTTGTATATTCAATGACGGTAAATATAGTCGCTACAAATATTAATAATTTTCACTAATATGAATAAAAAATAAATAAAAATAAAAGGAGTACAATGTCTCTTTTCTCCATGCATGTTTTCCCACTACTGTTAATTATCCTTCATTTCACAAGCAAAAAATGCACCTATTCTTTATTATCCATTCACCGATTGCCATTCTGCACGTAAACGCTCATGTCACATCATTGGAGGATGCTAATTAATGAAAATTACAACAATGCGTCACACTCAAAGAGGGTGAAAAAAGAGGAGAGGGAGAAATGTTTTTAAGGCATCATTTAAGAGGTGATTGATTTTGAAAATCCTAAACGCAACATCATCAGATGACCTGATTTTCAATTAGCAGAATACAGAACACATATCTGAGTTATTATAGTAAATTTTTATGCTCAACGTGTCACTGAAACAATTAAATTTAAAGTGGTGAGCGGCTGTAATGTCACACTGACATAATTCTAGTTTTACATATTTTTCAGATGGGTGTTTGCTAATAAACTTATCATAATTTGTTAAATATTACAAAAACCCATTACACCAGATCAAAACGAGACTTGAACGTGATTGAAACCTCGGAAGAGTACATCCTTAAGAGAAACATCTTATGAAATTCAGACTTTCCAACCCTAACAATTTTTTGTGATCCTTCCAACTAGAGCTTCCAGACGCATGTGCAGAGACATGATAAACATATTTTAGTTTATGAATGGGCTATACAATCCAAATTTGGTGAAGGGTCATTGATCTTGCTTCAAAAACTCTTGGGACACGGTAAAAAAATACTCCTCATCTTAGGAAAACTATTACTCAAACAAATAACTTATATCTGAAATAGTCTTGGAAGAGTTATAACCCTTGCATTATTTTTCGAGACCTAGTAAATGGGCGAATGGAAACTACTCCTAGACTGTGTTGTTAAACTTCGATACTCCGAGGGTTACGCTCACTTACTTTCTCTGGGCTTAAAAGTGAGGGTAACCTTGGGAGTAAGGATATTGCATACATACACACACCACTGACTGGTCCGAAACTCTCAATACTTGTAGTTTCCTAACAGGGACTTGACTGATCAATTCCAACGCCTCCGTTGACACTTTCTGCGGCTTGCCAGTACCAACAAATCACCTTTTCCAAAATGTTTGGTTTCTGTAGCAAATGGTGATGCTGTATGAGTAAATACGGAATATATTCGTCGGATGTTTTGAAAACGCAATAACCAAACGTACCCTTCCCGCTCCTCCTTTCAGGGTCCTATTTGCAAGATATTCTCCCTTGATCCCCCCTATTTTCTGTAATTGCCCTTCTATAATTCATTTATTACTGTAACCTCGATTCCGACGTTAGTGTTTTAGGTCCGCTCTTTGCTTATTGTATTCTTAATTCATTTTCCCCACAAATACGTCGTAACCACAGTCCAACACCGAATGCAAGATACTTTTCGGTGTGAGCTGGGTGACCGGGGTAATATCTCATGTAGAGCTGCTTGTCTGTAGGTTTCTTATAATGATCTGTGTACCCATGTCGCGTCAGACGTTTAGCCCAATCTTTACAGTAGCATCCCAAACCTACGATGTTTACAGGGTTGATTCAGACATTGTTCCGAATAATATGATTAACGTGATCATGTAGACTGCTAAGAAGAATAAATCAATACATGGTTTGGAGAGATGCAGGTTGAAGAAGACTACGGAGAATTATGGTCAATTGTAAAATAATTAATTCCAATGTTTTGATCATGATAAGTACTGTGCCTTGATGTTGCGTTGTCATTATCCCATTTCATGCTATCGGGATGTGATGTACTCGGATTTGACCTATATTGTCATGTATTAGTGGTGCCATCGATGAACCAGAAGACGCTTATCCTTCTGGAACGCCTTGTATTATTGTTCTTGAAGTAGAGGAGACCGCGGCAAATTCATGGGACGGATCCAGGATATATCCGACCACATGCTATTTTTGTTCTTGAGTAAACTTTGGGTATCGTAGCAGTTCATTTCATTCACACACACACACAAACGGAGAAGATAAGTTTATCATAAAATTACGTAAATAGAGACCGCCCCTTATTAGTTTTGCAAACTCTCGGTTAACCAAGTTGCTTCTTATTTATAACTGTTGTAATTGTAACACACTGACAATTCTACATGATACATATATATACAATATGCAAAATTGAAATATGAATTTCGGGTAGGTTTGCCAAAGGAAACACATGGATAGTGGCGGGAACATCTGACATTGCGTACTTTATGACGTCATAATCATGCTGATTCCAAGGTGGCCCGAAACTACCCCGAACGTGTTCGCTGTTTTCTTTCTATTTATGAAAGGTGTAGAATCTCTCTTCCAAATTGTATATATATTTTCATTTTTTTAAACAGATGCCATACTAACCAGAACGAATTCGATTAAGATAGGCCCAATTTGCCCCTGCTTCTCCTTAATATAAAATATTGGATTTTCTTCTTCTTTTTCCCACCTGTTATATAAAAAATATACGAATTGACTAAATGACGTTACATTTTCAATAACTGCAAATGTCGTTATTTCTCGGCAAAAAAGGCGATATAACAGAAGATTGGAAGGCCGAACATGCCCGACATTGAGGCAAATTTGGATAGACAATCTGCGGTAAGTTTGGCCTACGTTGGAGTCAACTATATATGACGTCATAAAGCATGCAGCATCAGGTTTTCCCGCCAACTTCACGACATTTTATGTGTTCAATAAATCAGTATACATGTGTTACAGCAATAAAAACGTTAATGCTAGGCTTTTATATATATACCATCATGTGAAGCTGTCAATGTGTTATACGTATGACATAAAATTATTAAACAAGGAGCAACCCAATTCGGTTTACAGAAAGTTAGCAAAATATATCTAAAAAGGAGTGAGGCCATAATATTCTTCCTAACCTCCCAAAAGGAACTTTCTCCCTTTAAGTAATTTTATTATTGAGTTTTCCCCGCCATTTTTTTCGTGTGAATGTCCCACTTAGCAAACTAGACTGCTAAGATCCTCAAAGTTGTTAATATTTTCTCAATACCAAATACACCGGCCGGGCCGATTTTTGTCCCGGTCTTCCCACATGGGCCTGAACATTTGTTACATCTATATTTGAACCTAATTCAAGTTTTCAGAGAAATAAATTTAACATGTTTTAGGGGTTTAGATCGACTTTCGCAAAGAAGGCACCCCCGTGATCCTAAAGTCGATTTAAAGCCAAAAAATATGTTAAATTACCCTAAACTCCTTAGTTTAGGTCAAAATATAGCTGTAACAAATGTTCTGGTCCCTGTGGGTTTTCCATGTGACATGTCGGCCGTGATGTTTTCAATGCAAACAGAAAATTTTGAAGTAGTACCTAAGCGAAACGATGGTAATATTTTGCCCTTCTTTGTTATGTTTCCTTAAAATTATCATAACGTAACGATTTTTTTTGTGTCAGATCTATATGATACAATCCCGGAGAATCTGCCCAGGCCATCGTACATTTTAATTAGAAACTACTAACTACTTCCGGTTGTTTTGCTGGTGGACTTAGCGTTGTCGTACGCGTGCATAGAGACCACGTTTTCTGAGGTATAACTACATTGTGGTTCATATTCTCAACATATATTCACCTTATGATTGACGTTACATGATCACCACGAGACAGTGCAGATTCTACTTTAGAAAGTCTCAAAGAGTAAAACCATGGGGCGGAGGGGGTATTTATTTTTACAGTAACGCCTCGAACGGGCCCGGACTAAGGGCAGGGGCTAGAGCACAGGGGTACGCAACTACAATTACTATTGATCTTGTTAGGCTTTCAGTCGCTGGGTACGTTATATCCCAATACACTTGCACGGAACTACTATTAATGCTGATATTGTTAGACTGTACGTAGGTGTGTGCCCCTGTGGCTAGAGTTTTCTTAGCTGGCTCCATCACCAGACCCGAGACATTCTGACAGATAGATCCCCATACAAATGCAATAATTCAGATCCCCAACTGAGTGAAATGTGAAAGACAATCCAAAAACGATATTGTCAAAATGTCTTAAGTGATGTCAGGGCAGAGCCAGAGGAGACTCGGGCTAAGGCACAATTAAACTAATAAATTTTAATGCCTATAGAGTTGAATTAAATTTACTTAAGGATTTTTGAGAATATGCTCCACAAATCGTAATTTGCTCTTATGGCCATATGTTTCTTAACTTTAAATACTGGGTAACGGGATGCATATCGAAAATTGAAATAACCCTAAAGTAAAAAGGCAACAAGACAACTAGATTATTATATTCCAGAAACAAAGAATTTTGTATTTATTTCTATGATGACAGGAAAAATGATGGAATTGAAAACACCCTTACAGTAAAAGGCAATACTAGGCAACTAGGTTGATGTAAATAGGTTTTGTGAAGTTATCTTGAACTGTTTTTGAGACATGCTCCCAAAACAAAGAATTTTGCATTTTGGATATTTGTTTCCATGTTAACAGGAAAAATATCGCCAAAATGAAACTGCCTCAAATACACTAATATATAGATAACATTCATCATGTATGTAACTTTTTTGACACAAGAGTTATTTTTGGTATATACTGAGCTTTGAATAATTCTATGTGCTATTATTTCTGAAGACATGACTGTGTGGTTGTTACTGTGATAAAATGGAAGCTGAGACCTACCTCCTTACTGAACAGCCTGCTGTACTTCACAACACAATGGTTAACTGGCCTTCCTCATCTTGGACACCAGAATTCCTTGGCGAACAGCTCTCACAACCATTGTCTTGTAAAGTGACACCTTTATCTATAGGTAGGTCCAGATGATGTATCATCTCTCACAAGTTCACAACCATTGTCTTGTAAAGTGACACCTTTATCTATAGGAAGGTCCAGATGATGTATCATCTCTCACAAGTTCACAACCATTGTATTGTAGAGTGACACCTTTATCTGTGAGTAGGTCCAAATGATGCATCAGCTCTCATAATTATAACTTGTAAACTTAAACCTTTACTACTCAGTAGCTAGGTGTAGATGGTTCCTAAATACCCTTTACAATAGAAGTACATGTAATAACTATCAGGTCAAGAGAAGCCTTCACTGTGTTTAGGTGACAAGTCAATGTAAGACTGCTGTGGACTACCAATACATGCATAGCGTCTCATCATTTCATCATGTTCAGTGTTTTCTCCGGATTGTTCAGTGAACTGCAGGGACTTTCCTTCCTGGAGAAAACACTGCATTATGTGCTGGAAAACCAAAATCAGAAGGAATTGATTTCTATTATCAAGATTCACATTAAGAAATAAATTAGTCAACAACTTATTAATAAAATATATTACATTTCATTTGATGGTTTTTAAGTAGCATAACAGTTGAGGTACAAGCCAGAGTTGGAATATTGCAAAATTTTATTACAGGTGTGTACAATATTACTAGCCGGATACCAAGGTCTTTAAAAAACTTAATTTTTGATGTAAGTTTGCCGAAAAAGTTTTCCTAATCCGCCTGCAGGTTAATGCACTCAAATATGGGGGGAAAAAATTCTGGTACCATATTGGTTTTAAACAATCTAACATGCATGGTCTAAAGTATTTTATGTGATAGTTGTATCCAATATTACATAGAAAATCAAATTTAATTTTTTAATTATTTTATGTTAGGAAGGGCGCTGATGGAGACAGAGTGCATCCAGGAATCTGTGAGTCTTTCTGACTTTGTCCAGTGGCTCAGAGGGCAGGTCAGCGGAGACAACCCCCTCCAAAAGTATGACCGCAACACATTCTCATGTTATCTTGACTACAAGTACATGCAAGAGATATTTACAACGAAGCCAGAACTACTCAAGGTGAATTACAAGCTTGATTAGCACGCTTTTTCAAAATTCACAATACAGAAATATATCATTCAATAATAGTGATATCAGATATTTTACCCTGACTGATAGCAGTTTTATATTGAAAAATAGAATGATGTTTTTCTATCCACTCTAATCAAAGCCAGTGATTTTCTGTTTAGATGCAGATGAACCCATGGTAGTTTGATTGGTTGTTTTGGTACATTTTTGGTAGATATACATACCGGTAGTAAGAAGATATTTTAAATAACTACACAACTGATAAAAATTTTAGAAGTAAATCTTACCAAATAATAACAGCAAATGGTGGAGTGACATTGAGTAGTCTTTTTAAAAAGGCATGCAACTTTGTCTTCAGTCAAGACATCATTTGAATATGGCACTAAAGATTATGCTTCTAGTCACCACCATTTCTTAGCATAGTAATATTTTTAGCCCACCATCATCTGATGGTGACCTATTCAAATCACCCTGCGTCCGTTCGTCTGTCTTAAACAATTCTTGTTATCGCTATTTCTCAGGAAGTACCAGAGGGATCTTCCTCAAATTTTATATGTTGGTTCCCCTTGGTCCCAAGATGAGCAGGGCATCTTTTGAGACTGATGGAATAAACAACAAGGCCGATAGGCAGCCTTCTTGGAGTTTGATAGTGACAGTTTGTTATCACTATTTCTCAGGAAGTACTGGAGAGATTGATCTCAAATTGTATATGTACGCTCCCCTTGATCCCTTGTTGTGCAGGGCAACTCTTGAGACTGATCGGATAAACAACATGGCCGACAGGCAGCCATCTTGGATTTTGACACTGAAGGTTTGTTATGGCTATTTCTCAGGAAGTACTAGAATGATCATTCTCAATTTTATATTTAGGTTCCCCTTGGTTACTAGTTGTGCATGTTAACATTTGGGACTGATCGGATAAACAAATTGGCCGACAGGCAGCCATCTTGGATTTTTACAGTGAATGTTTGTTATGGCTATTTCTCAGGAAGAACTGGAGGGATCTTTCCAAAATTTGTTAAGAAGGTCTATAGTTGTGCATGTTTAATTTTGAGAATATCAGATAAACAAAATGGCTAAAGGAAGAACTAAACAGATCTTTCTCATATTGCAATGATCGATTCTATTTCTTTCACATTAAGTACTGTACTAGTAAATATGTGAAATGACAAACTCACTTTGAAGGTTGTCTTTTATACACAGCAGTATTAAGCTTAGATCAAAAGTTACCTCAAGGTGCATTTACTGTTAACATGACTCGATCAAACAGATTAGAGTAAAGAAGAGAAAAGATCGAACTGACAAAGAACTAATGAAGATGAAACAATGGTGGGCGCCAAGATCCCTCTGGGATCTCTTGTATGGTTTCAGATTTTTTTGCTCAGTTTTACTGCCAAATATTGTCTGTTTCCCCTAGCTAAAAAGTGCCTTATTTTCCCAAAATTAGCAAAAACTGAGGAATATATTCCCAGTTTCAATACAATTAATGCTAGATTTTCCCAACTCATAAAGGAACAGGCTGTTGACAAAGTTAGGTAACAAAAACACTGGGTTTAAAAATTTGATAAAAATCATTATTGAATGCCTTTTATATTTTACTGGTTAGTGGTATGTCAGAAAATATGAAAATATACCGATATTTTAACTGCTGCTTTACCGATGGAATAAATACGGTATCCAGATCTGGAAATCATTGAATAGTTTGTATTACCACATGTCATACTATAAGAAATTAAGAAAGTTCAGATGTCGGCACACCTAGTGTGTCGAAACATGTCAACATCATGATTAATATTACCGATCACCTTCAAGTGGATGTTATCCTGTCATCTTTGAAAGACAAGTATTTGTAGACTTTGTGCTCATGTGTACTGTGTTGATAGGCAGTATGCTGGGAGAGTGTGGGTCTGGAGGGACGGGACGGGACAGCGAGTACACTATGGATGGGTAGTGAAGGTGCCTATACCAACTGTCACTATGATGCTTATGGCTACAATCTGGTCGCTCAGATATTTGGAAGGTCAGTTCAGTATTTAAATCGGACAATATTTTACGTGAATACTTTGTTCATTGTGTAAAATTGGTCGTTATACATTTTCAACAATTCCTGTTCCATATGTTTATTGTTACATTTACTTTGCACAAAATCAAACACATGTGATGATGAGAGGAGCATCTGTTACTTGACAGTCTGTGTATCTACGCAGTAAATACCCACCACTAGACACCGGATTGAACGTGTGTGTCTTTCTCAATAGGAAACGGTGGGTACTCTTCCCTCCATCAGACACCCAGCACCTTTATCCCACACGAATCCCCTTTGAGGAGTCCAGCATATTCTCCCAGGTTGATGTTAAACATCCAGATTTGAAGCTTCATCCAAAAGTTAAGGTGAACAAATTGTTAACATCAAAATAATTTGAACGATTTATACATTTATGATCATATTTATGGATACCTTCACTTGTTATAGATGTATAAGTAAGCATTTTAACAAATGGTGTAATGGACCTACATTTACAACCAGTGTTGCTATTACTTGTATACTTATAAAGGCCGACACATAAAGCAACAGCAATGTGTGTTGTAAGGTCATTTGTTAAAACTTTCATTTAATACTACTACTTATCTGTACTTAAATGTGTAACTCTTGTAATGTCAGTTCGTGAAGTCCTTTGCACACCAAACGGACGTTTCAAGTGTAGCAACATGTATTACCATCTCTATGCATTGTTACAAGAGTATACAGAGCAAGTATATCATGTTCACATAGTTCCTTTCGTCATCCTTATATTACATGTACTAATCCTCACCTGTTATCTTAACATATAAGTACATTCTTGCATTTGTTGTTATCTTAATATTAATTACATATATATGTATCCTCTTCTCTATTTATAGCTTCATTACTCATATATAATTTAACCTAACATAAATGTATCATTATGAATAAAAAGCTTTATTTTGCCAGCTGACAAGTGTCCATGAGGTAATTTTGGAACCAGGACAGATCCTGTATGTACCAAGGCACTGGTGGCATTATGTCGAGTGTTTGGAGCCGGCCATCAGTGTCAACACATGGGTAGAACTGGTAGGTCTCACTAATGGTAGGCTAGCAACAATAGATCCACAATCAGTGTCAGTAAATGAAGTTAATTAGGTGTGTACTTACTAATGGTAGGCTAGCAACAATAGATCCAGAATCAGTGTCAGTAAATGTAGTTATTAGGTGTGTACTTACTAATGGTAGGCTAGCAACAAGATACAACAGATACAGACATCTACTTGCACAGTGTCTGTATTACTTGGTACTTCAATATTGAACACATTGAAAAGTCAGTACTCTGAAATGAAAATAAACAAACCCATTTCTATAGTTATATGGTATATAAAAAGAGGTGTATTATGCACAGAAGTGTAACTTACTAAAATAATTCAACTTATTCAGAAACAAACACCACACTCTTTTTTCATAGTTAAGGAATATTTGTTTCATTTCTGATAAATCTGATAGAGTTTTTCACAAAACAAAATATTGCTCTGTAATTTCTTTGCCAAGCAGCTTCAATCATCAGAAGTTAGAATAACAAATACTGCAGTAAACATTGTGGTATCAAACGTCATCACTTTCTGTGTTGTCTTGTGTTTTTCTTGGTTGAACGGTATTCATGAAAAAGTCTATTATTATAATATTTTAGCAGTGACATGTACACTATGACCACGGATCACATAGTGACCTGTGCTTCTGACTTTGTACTTCATAGGCTGCAGACACAGAGTCGAGGTTTGAGGAGGCTATTACTCGAAACCTTTTCTCGAGTCTCTGGTGCTCACACATTGATATGAAAAAACAAGGTATGAATGATTGTCATCAGCTGGGAGCAGTGGGCGCCCAACAAGAGGGAGCTAACACCCAGGAGTGGATCAATCCTAAGGAGGTGAGTACACAGAAAAGTCTGTAGAGAAACCAATATATATGATATATTATTACAAAAACCTGAATTCTCATTCTTTCATTTTTTTGTACCGAAAAACCCAGAATGAAGAAACCTTATTTCCCATTCTTTTGTCCTTTCACCATTTTGCATCTTACACTCAGAACACTTCTCAATGCCCAAAGAAGCCCAAAAGTTTAGACCCCATCACCTTACAATACTTCATAATACACAATGCACTATGAAAAATATGTATCAAAGAGTAGAGAGAAAGAGTAGTGTTGAGGCTTTATGTTTTAATTTTTAATTTATGTGTTTTGAAAATACATTTTAAACATTTTCTTAAGGTCTTCTTCTGTTGTTATTTCATCCTATGAGAAAATGGTCTTTATATAGTCAAGTATATAAGAATGACCAATCCGTTCTCTGAAATCATGATACAAGTGAGGTTATTAAGCTTAATATTATTTGTGTTTAATGTTGAAGTACAATGTACTACATCCTGAACACTGAGCAAAGTGAGGTGATCTTTTTCTGAGGTTGATTAAGGTAATAGATTGTGTCGCCATTTCTCAAATTTTGTAGTTATATTGCTTTGAAGTAAAGAAAATTTTCTGCCACAAAAAAATATAGGTTGTCAGAATTTCAAGGATTTTAAATGGAAATTTATGTAAAAAGGAGTGAATTTTGAAAAAACAAATTGAAACACACATTTTTTTGCAAAATAATGTCAATAAAAATGATACTAACATAGATCAGAATTGCATGAATGTATATCAATTTCATAAATGCTGAAATTGTGTAACATTAATTATCTATAAACGATTACAAATTGACATTTTATAATAAAACCATATACACATAGTGATTGCATGCAAGAGTTATCGTTCTTGAAAAAACTTCACAGTAGTGAAATAGGTAGCTGATTTCCTGAATTACAGAAAAATGAACACATATGACTTATTGATTAAAAAAACAACTGAATTAATGCCTGGATTGCTTTGCAATACTTTAATATTGAAAGAACACACTGTTCTGTCAATAATAAGCATACACTACTATTCATCAGTTTAATAATAAACATTAGAATATGCGGAAATTGTGATACTGTCTCCCTACATTGGATTTTTAACTAGGGATGTACTTCCTATTTCCGTTAAGCAATACACTCCTATGACCTTAAGTACAGCTTTCCAGTTAAATCAACGATGCTTAATTAGACACCAAATTTTTCGACAGCTAACAAAAACAAAGTCTACATTCACCCCAGTATTGATGCGAGTTTAAAATCATTGATGTGCAGTTAAGGAAATTTGAACTGCAATAATCAGTTTCCTAATTTTGTTTTTCCAATCAATCTCAATTTCACAAAAAATGAAACATGCAAACAGGCATATTTTCAATTGGCTTATTTACTTGATTTGTCTTGCAATTTCAGGAGATTTGGGACAACAGACGCAATATGTTTGTACTGAGTGAGGCATATAAAGCAATAGAAGGGGATAAAAGTGGTGGTGATGGCTGTACAACGACAGATTGTGGCCTGGTCACTTCAGACACTCCAGACTGTACCACCGATGACAGGGAGAGGAACTTAAAAATATTTGCACGACACTTCAGAGGAAAGACAGTAATTTTTCTACCCAAAGGTCGTGTACAAGGATCTGTTATCCAGAACAAGGACAAAAATTCAAAGCCAATTCAGGGAGAATATTTTAATATATCATCGGAAATTTCATCGAAAACAGTAAAGAAACCCCATTTACATCTTCGAGAAAAAGAGCATGGTATATTTTATTGTGATGATGAAAATTATAAAATGTCAACAGCGCAAAATTGGAATAGAGAAGACAAACTATCTGAAAAGACATATCACCAACCAACACAGAAAATACCTGTCAAATCAACGAACTTATTTTTAAAAAGAAATCAAAGTGGTGAAGTTTATTCAGATCAAAGCTGTGCAGCGAAAGTCTCTAAATTGACATCACAATCTTCTGAAGAGTTACTAACTGACAGAGTGATGATGAAAACCATCTCTAGACCTGATACAAAGTTTAACAGTAGGAATGTGACATCGAACAGGCCATGTAATACACTCATCAAAACATGTCTGCGATGCAACAACCAGGATTGTGATGGACAGGTGTGTCGGTCACGGACTGTCGCTCCTTCACCATCAGAAATAAGTCTCACTGCAGTGACACCACAGCCATTCATGACATGGCATTCAGTATGTAAATGTGGGGACAAGAATTCTGACAAGGATGAAAACCAGAGAGGCAGTAGGATACTGAATGCCACCCTAGATAACAGCTCTCTAGACAATAAACTAGATACTGACAAAGAGGTGTCCTATTATCAACGAGAAACGTGTCGATACTGTGTCGGTGATAGTCATACTAGTGAATTGACAAATCAAAGTAACACAGGTGAACAAGTGAATCCCATTAAGACATTGACGTTTGAAGAGTTTGTGATGTGTGCCACACATCCAGATGTTATTCACACTATAGCTAAAGTTATCAGGAACAACATGACAGGCGACTAGAAATACACTTTTCTAGACTGTGTAAACATACGTATAACTTCGGCTATTTGATAGGTATGAAAGTGCAATTATATATTAAGTTTCCTGTAATGGGCTTTTTTTCAGGTTTCCAATAGAATCTTTAATGATCTCCCCTGGCAAAATGTATAGAAATGTGAGCTTCATGTGAATGAGCTAACGTACTGGCTTCATCATTTACTCCCAGAGGTTTTATCAGATTTATTTACTGCGATATCTCAACTCAGTTTCAGCATTACAACAGATGTCTAAAACTTCGTAATGTAAATCATGATACAGTGTGCATGTACTGATAACAGTAAGGGTTTGGTCTTACATGTGGAATAGCTTGCTAGATCTAGAGTCGAGGGCTATCATGTCTGTTCAAATAAATGAACTTAGCCTATTTTTCAAGTTCAAACATGTTTGAAACATTACAGAAATATTCATGCTTAATGCTGTAGGATACTGGAATCCGAAATCTTACAAGTAGTGAGCTTTACCAACAATTTGTTTTGAATGAAATGGAACAGTACCCAAATATTTTAAGTATGTACAGTACATGTACATATTCCTGTATTATACACAATAAAAGTTCAGTCAAGAGCTGTAAACATAGTTGTGTATGTTTTCACACAAATCAACTGGTGACCTCAAACTCCTACACAGCATGATTTGAACTTCGTTAAACTATCTCTCCACAATCTCAAACATGTTCTTAACTTGTGACCACTGTACATATTCATGTTAAAACAATCGGTGTTTCTAATTAGTTGTTAATTGTAAAAAATTGTTAAAGCTTAACTTATGCTAATAATTTTTATCAGGAACTTGTTATTGAACTTGTATATATAAACTGATGGTAGGAAGCTTGTACAAACAAGTTACAAAAGGAATGTTACATGAACACAATCTTTATTTCAAAAGTACTATTTATCAGTATGTACAAAAAATATGACGGTACAAATTAAATGTACATCCAACAGACATTGTGTATTTCTGTATTCTACACAGATACTTAAACACACACAGTATTTACTGTGAATCATCCCCACTCAGTCACATATCACACAACAGCCATATATACCCACTCACCACTCCTGTTCGCCTATACTAATCATAATACACTGAACAAGGTTACCGCGAGCGGTATATAATACGCCCGTCACACATTGAATGAGCAGTTGTTTGTATGATTGAAATATATGAAGTATTTGTGAGTAATTGATATTAAAAGAGAAATCATTCAACATAACTGGTAGATCAATGAGTGCAATACAACATCATGGAACGCATGCATCGCATTAATGAAACCAAGGGTAATAACTCCAGTAATTACGGTCGGATAATGGCGGTTATCGAACTTGTCCGAGGTTTCATGGTAATTAACCTTGTTGTGAAGTTTGAAGTTAATCCGTTAATAATTACTCGAGATATCGAGCGGACACTGTTTCGGCAAGTCCATAAAGGGGCATAACTCCACAAATTATGGTCGGATAATGGCGGTTATCGAACTTGTCCGAGGTTTCATGGTAATTAACCTTGTTGTGAAGTTTGAAGTTAATCCGTTAATAATTACTCGAGATATCGAGCGGACACTGTTTCGGCAAGTCCATAAAGGGGCATAACTCCACAAATTATGGTCGGATAATGGCGGTTATCGAACTTGTCCGAGGTTTCATGGTAATTAACCTTGTTGTGAAGTTTGAAGTTAATCCGTTAATAATTACTCGAGATATCGAGCGGACACTGTTTCGGCAAGTCCATAAAGGGGCATAACTCCACAAATTATGGTCGGATAATGGCGGTTATCGAACTTGTCCGAGGTTTCATGGTAATTAACCTTGTTGTGAAGTTTGAAGTTAATCCGTTAATTATTACTCGAGATATCGAGCGGACATCGTTTGCTTGCTTGCTTGCTTGCTTGCTTGCTTGCTTGCCCGCCCGCCCGCCCGCTCACGTGATAACTTCGACGGGCGTATAAAAAGTAAGGACAGCATGATTATAGTATTTTGGTTTAATATTTACTTCTGTACTTCTGTTTATAAATCTGCTCATAAAACACACATACATGTACCTATACGTATCATTGTAAGAATACTCCTAATGGTGTTTTCTGTATAGTTATGACATGTCTAAAAAACACCCTTCTTTTTAACTTAAGACTATTTGTATTCTCTCTTTTGGGTGGTCTTTACAGCAAGTGTCACTGCATATGCTACAGTGTACAAGAAATAGGGATAGATCAGAATGTGTTTCTTAAAGACAGATACCAAAGGTTATGCTAAAAAATATTAACATTATCCTGACAATATCATGTACTTTCACAAAAGCATCACCTCACGGTCACCATACATTATAATGAGGTGCTCTTTCAAACCACACAAACATACTTCTCATTTGATGTCTTTGTTCTAGTGTGAACCGAGACTTGTGATAATTGCAGTGCAGCTTTACAGCTACAAATATATCTCATAATTTGTGTACTTGAACATATTAAACTACAAACATGTCGATTACACTACAAATATATCTCATAATTTGTGTACTTGAACATATTAAACTAAAAACATGTCTGACAATTAGACTACAAATATATCTCCTAATTTGTGTACTTGAACATATAAAACTACAAACATGTCAATTAGACTACAAACATGTCATAATTTGTTCTGTTGAGACATTACAGTCTAGTAACTACATACATGTACACCTCATCTGATCCAGGTCATATATACACATACCGCTAGACCACAGTAATCCAGCTCACACATAATCACTGAAATACTCTCAGTTGTAATTAATGGGCAATATACATGAATGACAACTGGACAAAAGCAGATACTGAGAAGCATATTAGTTCTTCACGATGCATTCACTTTTGCTCAGTTAACATTCATTATACACTGTATTTACCATTTTTCAAAAAAATTAACTGCAGAAAATTAAATTAATCAAAAGTCATCATAAAGTTTTAATTATGTATTATGTTTGCTTGTCTCATAACTAGTACAGCTATTTTCATGGGATGGTCAGTGGTATCCAATGACACAATATAAGGCGGTATCATGACTTAGAGCCGTAGCTCCATAGCTGATGTAATAGCGCTATCACAACTTTTAAGTGTTATGCAGTGGCAATGCCACACAGAAGTAAATACATATGTACTGGGACACCCTTGTGATCGTGGATTAATGAAGCTCTCTGACAATTTCACCACAAACATTCAGTCACACTTGTTACAGCCACACTTGTTACAGTCACACTTGTTACAGCCACATATTACATACCAAAGACTAGTTCTAGTGCCATGCTAGACGCATGTTACATACCATGGACTAGTGCCATGCTAGACGCATGTTACATACCATGGACTAGTGCCATGCTAGACGCATGTTACATACCATGGACTAGTGCCACATTCACTCCTCACCAAGGCCACAGAATCTACGCCGAACCTCTAGCATGAGGTTCTGATACAACAATAAGTCAATTTAACAATAGCTTTAGAACAAACCAATCCATAGACATCTTGTAAAAGGGTTAAAATATGTGTATGGGGTGGGTATAATACATTTTGGCAATTTTCCTCCATGTGACATAAAAATGCATTGTAAATGGACCATCATCCCTGTTTACCATCATCCAACTAAATCAATGAGACTGGAGCTTGTGACAAACACATATCAACATACCCAGATGTCATTCTCAAATGTCCTATTTTACCATTCTTTAATAAAAAGAATAAAGCTTGCATATCAATGTTCTGTACAACTTGCTGATCAAGATATGTTGACAGAAGCTATCGATGTTATTTAATGAAACTATTATGTTACACTGAAGCTATATTATAATACTTATCACATACTGCAGATGATGCAGATACTTGTTACTTTTGGAAAGATTCGAATTCATGCTCTGAGGTTAGGAACATTTGTGAATGAAGAGGGGAGGGGCATGCCCTCTGGATTGGAAATACATGTTACTAGGTCAAAAAACATTCGTTACTGGCGAGGAGATCATGCCCTGATCATGAGGGCAGGAACAATTGTTATATTTGGGAGAGGCAAGCTCCTTGGGTCAAAGACACTTGTTATTGAGGGTGGAGAGGCATGCTCCGGGGGTCAGGGACAGCCATAGGGGTGTCAAGGTTCTGTTGAAGCTGCAGAAGCCAGCGTTTGGTGGAGTTGTCGTCCTTCAGACATGGTGAAAATGTGGCATCCTTGAGCTGGTCAGGAAGACACTGGCGCAGGGCTTCCTTTGCTCTGAAACACAACCAAACAGTTACTTTTCTCTTACTTACTCAGCACAAGGTAAATGCTTTTGCCAATATTATAGAAAACCCTGCCATTTCTTATGTGATCTGCCAATGACAACATGCACAGACACAGCTCCCTACTGAAACAACGATGTAGCTATCAGAAGATATGTATGGATGGCCTTACCTTGGATTGTCAGACAGACGGAGGTAACAACGATGTAGCTATCAGTAGATATGTATGGACAGCCTTACCTTGGATTGTCAGACAGACGGAGGTAACAACAATGTAGCTATCAGTAGATATGTATGGACGGCCTTACCTTGGATTGTCAGACAGACGGAGGTAACAACGATGTAGCTATCAGTAGATAGTTATGGACGGCCTTACCTTGGATTGTCAGACAGACGGAGGGAACAACGATGTAGCTATCAGTAGATAGGTATGGACGGCCTTACCTCGGATTGTCAGACAGACGGAGGTAACAACGATGTAGCTATCAGAGATTTGTATGGACGGCCTTACCTTGGATTGTCAGACAGACGGAGGTAGCAACGATGTAGCTATCAGAAGATATGTATGGACGGCCTTACCTTGGATTGTCGGACAGACGGAGGTTACAACGATGTAGCTATCAGAAGATATGTATTGACGGCCTTACCTTGGATTGTCGGACAGACGGAGGTTACAACGATGTAGCTATCAGAAGATATGTATGGAAGGCCTTACCTTGGATTGTCGGACAGACGGAGGTAACACGATGTAGCTATCAGTAAGATATGTATGGACGGCCTTTCCTTGGATTGTCGGACAGACGGAGGTTACAACGATGTAGCTATCAGAAGATATGTATTGACGGCCTTACCTTGGATTGTCGGACAGACGGAGGTTACAACGATGTAGCTATCAGAAGATATGTATGGAAGGCCTTACCTTGGATTGTCGGACAGACGGAGGTAACAACGATGTAGCTATCAGTAGATATGTATGGACGGCCTTACCTTGAATTGTCAGACAGACGGAGGTAACAACGATGTAGCTATCAGTAAGATATGTATGGACGGCCTTACCTTGGATTGTCGGACAGACGGAGGTAACAACGCACAACATGCTTCAACAGTCGGGCAGAAGGCTCCTTGGATAGATGAAGCACCATCTTACCCTGCCAAACAAATATGCAGTGAAAATTGAGTGTTACAACTGCACAGATTTTTCTGAGGTTCTCGGTGGAAATGACAGCCACACATGTGAAAAGCATTGCTTCACTAGAGTATTCTTTATCAATAAGGGTACAATGTTATTTTAGCTGTACTAGAGCATTATACTTAATTAAAACACAACAATGATTCAGCCTCAATATTGTATTAATAAGGTATGAAAACGTTTAGCTTGACCGTTGTATAACAAACTTAAGCTTCATTAGTGTATTCTTATTAAAGTATGGTGTTCTTGAGCTTTTGAGCACAAGTGTAATCTTGTATGGTGTATGGTTTTACCATCGTTTAGCTTCAGTTATACAGAAAGATAATATTTCCGCTTCCCTAGTGCTACTTTCTGAAGGATAGAGCAATGATCTTGATATAAAAATCAGTGTGCGAATAACTGAAACATGTGTCTCATCTTGAATATATATCCAAACAGTCCTAACATATAACTAGGATATATTTTAAAAGTGAATCAACTAGCACAACAATTGGAACAATAAAGATGCCACTGGCCTGCAACATATGTTCCTTATCTCCATGTTGTTATTCCACACAGTACAGGACTAGAGGCGTTCATACCACTTACTAATAACATGGCTACCATGATCATACAACCTTTGACATTATGTAAATGTGAGCAGCACAGTATTCACTTACCAGTAATGTGAGCAGCACAGTAGTCACTTACCAGCACAGTAGTCACTTACCAGTAATGTGAGCAGCACAGTAGTCACTTACCAGTATCATAGCCACATGAGAGAAGCGTTCGTAGGTCTGACAGATATAGGATAGCCCCATTTCATCTAACAAAATCTTCTGTAGGATAAATGTTGCAACCTGTAACCCGAACACCTCAGATTTAAACAGGTTTTATTTATATAGCAATGAATGTCAAGTTACTAGGAAGTTTTCACATTTACACCAAACTCTGTTAGCCTTTTATTCCATTGAGCATAATCCTGTTTTCTGAATTTAAAGTTGTGTGTTGTAAAAATCATCAAGTTATTTCTTTCTTCTGAGAAAAAGTATCTATGTTTATTCAATTTCAACACCATAGAAATTAGAATTACATGCACTTTTATATGGAATTTTTAGGTCAAAATAATATATCAGATGCCTGGTTCACACTGATTTTAATACTGCATATATATATATATTTTTTTGAAATGTACAACAGATATTGAGTACCATACTACTGGCTTGATCAATACAGCCAAACATGTACTACCTCTGGTTTATATTTACTTTACTGTTGAATGATTTTTTTCAAATAAGTTCTTGTGATAACAAAATGTGCTTTATTTACCAAATGGACACAGGCTATATACAGATGTAAGTCTATCAATAATACACTATACAGTGCTGACTGTTATATGTCTCCCAGTATCAATCTGTGATACACACTCGGTCTGAAAACCCACCGTCTTCGAGAGCTCACTGCCAGATTCCATTATTCGGAGACACAGTGGGATGATTTCCGTTGTGAGAAGGAAATTGATTACTTCCTGTTCATCAGTCTACAAATAATATGTCCAGATTTAATAGTATGACAATAAAATATCTATCATTACTCTATCACATTTTCTTTTGTGTTTTATTTAGGTTATATTAAAGATAATATTGAAAAAGAACTACATTGGCATCTGCAAATTACCATGATTAGAAACAATGTTCATTACCAAGAGAAAGTTGTTTCTTTCCAGAATGACAGGGCCTGAATTGTAACACCTGGCCATGGTGACAGGGCCTGAATTGTAACACCTGGCCACGATGACAGGGCCTGAATTGTAACACCTGGCCACGATGATAGGGCCTGAATTGTAACACCTGGCTATGATTACAGGGCCTGAATTGTAACACCTGGCTATGATTCACTTGGATTTTAAATATACTGACCTTGACTAGAGCACCTATTACACCCAGACTGGTGAGTCGTAAGTACTCAAATGGCCGTGTCTTACTGACGGTGTGTAAAAATGGGTACAGGAACAACGGGATGTGTGCTGCAATACAAATAATACTGACAGTGAGTAGGAAGTACAATATATGGGACATGAAGGAAAAAGAATGTTTGAAGTGCAAGTATTTATCATTTACAATGTTTACTTCAACTCTTTCTTTTAAATATACATCAATGTAAGTTAACTTGTGGCAGAGTTAGTCCTGAGTTACCCTGAAGAAAAGCTGTAGGAAGCTTAAGGCTTCATCCTGACTTACCCTGAAGAAAGCTTAAGGCTGCGCCCTAACTGACCCTGTAGGAAGGCTGAGCCCTGACTTACCCTGAAGGAAGGCCGAGCCTTGACTCACCCTGAAGGAAGGCCGAGCCTTGACTTATCCTGAAGGAAGGCCGAGCCCTGACTTACCCTGAAGGAAGGCCGAGCCCTGACTTACCCTGAAGGAAGGCCGAGCCCTTACTTACCCTGAAGGAAGGCTGGGCCCTGACTTACCCTGAAGGAAGGCTGAGCCCTGACTTACCCTGAAGGAAGGCTGAGCCCTGACTTACCCTGAAGGAAGGCTGGGCCCTGACTTACCCTGAAGGAAGGCTGAGCCCTGACTTACCCTGAAGGAAGGCTGAGCCCTTACTTACCCTGAAGGAAGGCTGAGCCCTGACTTACCCTGAAGGAAGACCGAGCCCTGACTTACCCTATACTGACAACGTGTGAACCAGTTGTTGCCATTCCCCTAAATGCTGAATGTTAAGCAGGGAATAACAACTAGGTCAGTTTTAAGGACTTTGGCAGGAGTTCCCACATTAGTCGCCTCCTACTGTACCCTGAAGAAAGGCTTGGCCCTGACTTACCCTGAAGGAAGGCTGAGCCCTGACTTACCCTGAAGGAAGGCTGACCGTGTCTCTGGATGAGAAGCCACACATTGTAACAGAGCCAATGCATTACACACTCTGTTGGACTGGTGGGCCTACAAATACATCACATATTGTTAGCATCCCTCAGACGTTCTCATTCCTACCTACTCTAGGACACACTCCAGTTAGCACAGCTCCTCATTTCATCACATTCAAACATCATGATTCTTTGACCAACAATCTCTCTCAATGGAGCTGTCCCTACCTATAATCTCATCAGACACTATATAATATATGGGATCCTTCAAAAGCCTGGTGTCATACCTAACATCCCAAACCTTCTTTAACATGGCAAACTAGATCTGTCCCTGCTATATTAATCTCTAAAATGATATGCCTTAATTAAAACATACAGACACTACACTTAATTCTAATACCAGTAAATACTCATAGAAAATAACAAAGACTGGGCTTGCAAATAAAATACCAACAAAAATATTCCAATTTTGGCCACAGTTTGACTATGATATTGAAATACAATTAATTGATCCCGTGAATACCATATACCATCTGATACAGATATGTCTGAAGTTCTACATATGTGATACACAACAGACTTACTGTGAGGTGGGGTGGATTAATGGCTGGGTAGATATTAACTATTTCCTGGAGGAGAGCAGCCACTGTACCAAATGAGTGCCACAACATGGGAGCCAGGTCAGGGACCACTTCTCTTTTTTTGCTGAAAAAAAATTCAAGCCAGAAATTTTTAATCAGACAGAATGGAAATGGAATGCATTCTATCTCTCATAAAAGAAAACAAAGACTTTTATCTTCACTCTGTAAATCTCCTTAAGATGTTTTTGCTTTCTTTATAGGTTTATTTCTAGCAGTTCTGTATGGGTTATTGAGATTAGAATTCTTAATCAGCTTTGAAATTGCATGTGTTCTGTGTTGACCTATGTACAAAAACGTGTACCAAGCTCATAGATCAAATATTAAAACATATTTCAAAATAAATTTTAAAAAAATTCACAAATACATACAGCTGCTTGGAAAACAAAAGGCCTAAGAGACTTTTAATGCTCACAAGATATTTATGAACAAATAAATGGTGAAAAAAACCAATCTGACACTCAATCTGATTAGAATACACATCTTCAATATCACGACCCGGTATGCTATTGTGATATTGTAGATAAGTATGTTAATCAGATTGAACAGCCACTGTAAGAGGTACTAGTGCTATGAGGACTTCATAATAACGCCTACAGCATTATGACCATACCGAAAATTCAACTTAAGACTTTTGAAATGACTGCCATGAATTTCCATAATATCAGTTAAAATTGAAAAAAAATGGCCCTACTTAATTTAAATAACAAGAATTGGGCAGGACCACATGCTGATCAATTTTACTAAATTTAAATTGGCCTCGATGGTGATCATATTAATTTTATATCAGCTCCAAAATTACAACAATTGGTCAGGATCATGTACATACTGATCATTCCCACTATGTTTCAGCAAAATTGCTTCAGTAGATTGTCAGTAATTATATATATATAACTTGTCCCAGAAGACATTAGTGTATTAGATATTAATCTTTGGAAACAGCACATTTCCTATACCACGTTTGTCCTAAATCTTGCTTTGCTTTTAAGAATTTATGGTGATGATTTTGTATGCACCTAAGTTCCTGGAGAGCATTTTCCCTTGTATCAGGACCAGTAAGTTCCACAATCCACTGGTAGATCTTCTCACGGTCGACCTGGGACATCACAGCAGGAACTCTGTCAACCTGGGATATGACCGGAGGCCCAGACACGGCAGGGCCAGATGGGCCTTGGCCTCCCGTAGTGTTCATCATCCTGTAGGGCTACTACAAAGAAGTACACGATGAGCAATGAAAAACAATATTATAGAAAATAATATAATAATATATTGTATTATCCTTGAAAATGTACATTCACTAGAAATGTGACTTTTTGATACAAGGAAGTTAAGTAAATAGGGTTGGTTTAATTGCTGGTTTATCATTAAGTTTATTTGCGGTACAGGACTATATATGATTAGACATTCATCTCAATCAGACTCAAAAATAGTATAATTCAGTGCATACTTAAATATATATATATAGAGACAATAATGGACAATGTAAACTAATAAACAAAGTAAAGACGATTTAGTTTCATTTAGGTTAATAGTTTAACAGCCTTATAATTTAAGATCTTGGTTCTTTTCTAAAAAGTTTGTATGTCAGGTAGCACATTCCTGATACATTCTCCTAGATTTTCAATTTGCCTGTTGTGGAAAAAAATGGAACATCCGACCATAATTAATGTTATACAAGTACATGTACAACCTTCCTTATCATATATTTGATACACCACTGATCATTTTATATGATTCTATATGTAGATGTTGGGAGGCTAAGTTTTTTAAGCCTTTTTTCGTATTTCAAGTTTTGCAGTTAGGGTAAGCAATTAGTAGTACAAAATTTAATTTTCGATACATTTTATATAAAAATGTACGAGGATTTGCATATTATTCAATTTCAGACCTGACAAGACATTTGCATAAAGGTATGAATAATTTAAGGTCCATAAATTGGAAAATTCTACTTAGCATGGCAAACAATGAATTTGCTTTCTCCATTTTTTATCTTATTTAAAAAAATTGATGAGGCTATTACATCAATATCAGAATGCCATCACTGGGGAGGCATTCTTTTACCAAAACTTGATCTAACTCCTAAAGTGTCAACTAAGTATAATACTCTTGATACACATCATACATTACACCCATGTATCGGTAGGGATAAACTACAAAAAGGACAGGTTTTGAGGGGTTTCTCTACGAAAAAGAACATTTTATTAATTCTAAACCATGTTTTTAGCTGTTGTAAAAAAAATCTTCATTATCTGTTCTAACACAGGAGTATGACGGCGCGTCTGATTACCCAATACTACCAAATACCACCCAATACTACCCAGTTCATAATGAACCAAATACTTCTTTATTACTGTGAAATATCACCTTTGTAGACATTATTTACTTCCATCTGCCATATTTTTTCGGGAAATATGCGATTTGATGCCGAAAACATCACCAAATTGCCGTGACTATGACCCAATACTACCCAATACCACCCAGTTATGAACCAAATACTTCTTTATTACTGTGAAATATCACATTTCTTGAAGTTATTTACTTCTCTATGTCACATCCTATCTTGAAATATGCGATTTGGTGCAGAAAACATCACCGAAATGCCGTGACTAGGGGTTCGACGATTTAAAGGAACAGGCAGCAATGGATAGAAATCTATTTTAAAATTATTATACATACATTAATAAATTTAAGTATCATTATCGGGTATAAGATATATTTGATAAAAGAATTGCAATTACATGATACTATATTAATTCATGTCATAAAATGGTGTTATTAAGATCATATATATAAATTTAACAGGAAATATTTTTCAAAAATGTATTTTTTTCAATTTTGTTAAACATAACAGTATCAATTATATAACAATGCTGGAGAAGAACCTTCAGTTAAATTAGATACTCAAATACTATGAAATTCAAAAAGTATATGGATTGTATATGATTCGAAGTCCTTTCAATTGCTTGATTAACTCACAGATAGTCTGTTTTGGACAAGCTAGATATAGTTCTCTGACCAATCTTATGAAGGGTAGACGAGTAGGTTGTCATTAATCAATGTAAAAATTAAATAGATAAATAAAAGGAATTACGTTACGCTTCTTATACATCAATCCAGAGACGTATTTTACTGTCTATATTACTTCTTTGACCCTTACATATTACGTAATATATACGTCTTTATTCATCCGAAAGCAAAATACTAAATGACATGAAAACTTGATTCATATATACTTTTAATAACCCTGAGTTTGTGACACTAATTAGGAAATAACAGAAATCTGTTATCTGGAGTACGGCTCCATTCTGGACTCGGGCAAATATCCCAGCCCTGTGCCCCCGGGCACTAATTAACAATCCAAGTTCCTGAAGGTACAATAATGAGGTGTATACTGGTATCGAATCTAAATCACAGTTACAGGTAAATATATATATTATACCCAGGTAATTTAATTTTATAATGTCTTCCGAGGAATTACAAATTCCACTTGCAAACCACTTATATAATATGTACAGAAGACGTAGCAGTCTATGTGATTACTCCCATAACATGAGAGGGCGCTGGTCGGCCTTTTTCCAATCGGATATGATTTTGCCGACTGCGACTGTCAAAAGTTTTTCGCCGTGTAAAACCTCTAACATTGTTGGAGTATCTATGTGATAAGTTATAGTTTTGAACAGTGTCTTGTAAGCCATTTTAGGCTGAATATCATATACAATTACATTTTCTATGTTATGCATTTGTTTTGCATGAAAAAATCTTCTAAATCATTTAAATATATTGAGAACAAAAATGGGGAGAGATTTTCACCTTGTTTTACCCCGATGTGACTAGTGACAAAAATTAGTCAGATCATTGCTAGGTTTTACGCAAGATTTAGTGTTTGCATACAGATTAATTATAGCATTAAATATATTTCCTGTGATATTATTCTTTAATAATTTCTTCCATAAACCTACCCTCCAAACAGTATCAACCGGTTTTCTGAAATCAATGAATGAACAGAATAGCTTTTTACTTTTTGAAAAGTATAGATATTAAAGCATGAAGGATAAATATATTTTCAGTTGTAGAGTAGCCTTTCCTTAAACCAGCTTTAACATTGGAACAGGAAATCTATTGTCTACTATTACGAAATTAGATAATCAGTTTTGACCACATCGGCCTTTGAAAAAAATTGAAACATAAAGCGTTTCACCGTGTTTCTTTCTTCTTTACATATACAATTAATATACAGTATTGTTTTTCTAACACAGATAAGGCCTAACAATCCAACATATGGACTTCAATATTTATTTACGTACAACACATATTTCAATTAACTTATATTTACATATAGAATTATATTTAATTTTCAGATTGATGTCCCTTTTTTGAGTTGGAAAATTGCTTATTTTATTTTATTTTAAGATCGTAGACGTGATGGGATTGTAATCTACACATTAGCACCAATTAATTCACTCAAAATATATATTCATGCTATTGATTAAGAGTTGAGTATAAGTTATGAAGTTATTAAAATTTGGTTATCATAATGTCATTTTCGATGTTTCAGGTGTTATGACATCGCAATAACAATGTCATATATATAAATGAGAAAATAACCCAGATACATATTTATTATATATGTAATATATAATTCTCTGAACAACCCTTTTTTATAGAAAAAAACAGAGACAAATATATGTATATAGGAACCTCGGCCTGGCAATTTATTGATGTATATAAATTTAGTCCGATCCTGCCCCGTTCCTGTAATTGCAATTCTTTTATCAAATATACCTCATACCTGATTAGGATAATTCAATTTATATACAATAAATATATATAAATAAGTCCGATTCCTGCCCCGTTTCTGTCCGTTCCTGTAAATCGTCGACCGTTCTTGCCCGATCCATATCAATACAATACTTTTAATTCATTGCAATCGTTTTATCAAATGACGTATCTTGTACCCGATAAAAAAGATATAATACTATAAATATATGTATATATATAATTTAGTCCAATTCTGCCCCGATCATGTAATTGCAATCCTTTTATCAAATATATCTTATACCCGATAATGATACTTAAATGTATCTAATATATATATTCATTAATGTATATATAATAATTAATAGATTTCTGCTTGTTCCTGCCCGTTCCTGTAAATCGTCGAACCCCTATAGTTACGGCATTTCGGTGATGTTTTCTGCACCAAATCGCATATTTCCAGATAGAATGTGACATATAGAAGTAAATAACTTCAAGAAATGTGATATTTCACAGTAATAAAGAAGTATTTGGTTCATAACTGGGTCGTAAGGGTAGTATTGGGTCATAGTCACGGCAATTTGGTGATGTTTTCGGCACCAAATCACATAGTTCCCGATAAAATATGGCAAATGGAAGTAAATAACATCTACAAAGGTGATATTTCACAGTAATAAAGTAGTATTTGGTTCATAATTGGGTCGTATGGGGTAGTATTGGGTAATTAGCCGCGCCCGGAGTATGACGTTTAATAAATATAACTATAACAATCTGCATATATATACATATAAAAAAAAATGATACTACAGATTTTTATAGATATATTAATAAAACTTGATCAGGCTCCTGTGGTTTTACAGTCCTTCATGAATCATCAACAAAAACAGAAACCATATGTCAGGTAGACTTGTTTCTTTTTCTGTAAACGCAAGTTTCCATACTGTTTTTGTTTTATTCGACAATTACTTTAAAAAATATATATATAATGCCATACACATGTGATAGAAACGATATTTGTGATATATTTATGTTTTATAATTATATTACGGTATATTACATATGTTCTGATATAATAATAGCGATCTTTATTTCTGTGGTCTAGTTATTTTCTTATTTTGGCCTCTTGGATCAGTTTTGTCATAGATCTGTATTTATTTTATTGGTGGTTTATTTCAAAAGTTATCCTGTTGTAAACTCTTGTGTTAGCCAATAGTCAAGGTTCTCTTTGTGTCTATGTATGAACGGTTATTTTCGCGCAACAATTATCATATACTGCATGACGTCTTGACAATGTAGACAAGACAGAACAGGTAAGACATCTACTAACTGCAGTAGCTTGCACAAATTAATAGTCCAAATTCTAAATTATTTGGATTTTTTATTTGTATATTCAGACATATGATACGATCATACTAGTGAATTCTCAGTTCATGTACTGTACATATGTATATATACATACTTTTGTCTTTTTTTATTTTTTTTTATATATATACATATTTCTTTGTTATAATATTTTGCAAATACAAATACATGTAATACTCTCAGGATATTTCCTAAAAACTAAAAATGGCCCTGTTCACAGGAGCCGTAAGTTTTGTCAAATATTAATAATAACAGTAATACCAAAAAAAACCTATAATATGCTAACATATTTTTTTGTATTAATAACTGTTATTATTAATTTTTGACAGAACTTCAGGCTCCTTTGCCCTGTTCCGCAAATAGCTACTTTTTTTTTTATATACTTAATTATGTATTAGTGAATGTATTTTTATTGTAATCTTTGTCTATTTATTACGTCGTCTCTGTATCCACACTGGAGCCTGAAGTTCTGTCAAAAATTAATAATAACAGTAATACAGTACCAAAAAATACCTATAACATGCTTAAAAAAGATCTGTTTATATCAGTCTGCGACGTTAGGCACTAGTCCGATGCCCACGACTGGTAAATTTAAGCCTGGACTAGTATTGAAAATATTCAACTAGTCCGACTGGACTAGTGGCAATTTTCCTCCAAAATAATGGAAATGTTATTGATTGTAAAAAATTTGCATAATAAAGCTTGTCACAAGTTTTAATCCTATCGTAAAATACGGCATTTGTCAAAATTTATCAAAATTGAAGCGTTTCGATGAGTGAGACTGGGTTCCGGATTTTTCATAGTTACCAAACTTTACTTCTGGTTTATAACCACGTGAAACCAACCATGGTGATTTTGCTAAGCTGGAGGAAAGGTTCAAAACCAGATTAGCCTGTCCGTGAACAGACAGAAAAAGATGCTCTAACACGAAACCAAAATTTACGGTTCTGGCTAGTACTTAACGGCTCGATGGAAACAACAGTAATACTGTATTAGAGATAATTGGCGATCACGTTCTGTGCTCCTTTTCTATAGTTATTGAGAGACATTTTGTTTTGATTTCTAATAATTTTCCAATTTAGATCACAATTTACACCTAATGCTGGACTAGCAAATTCACAGTCGGGCTATTAAAATCCTGGGTTCACTAGTCCAAATGACTAGTAAGGAAAAAAGTTAACGTCACAGGCTGTTATATAATAGGTATTTTTTGTATTACTGTTATTATTAATTTTTGACAGAACTTCAGGCTCCTGTGGTATCCATAAATACGGAGCAAGATCAGATTTACATCCGTATGTTCAATTTCAAATGTGTCTGTATATATGTTAACGTTTCTGAAATGTAATTATTATACAATTACATAAAGACGAACATTAACAAATTGGAAAGCATCCAACGGAGAGGGGCGTGAAACACGCCCCTCTCCGTTGGATGCTTTCCAACTTGAAACATCCAGAAGGATTACAGAACAAGGGAAGAGGGATTCGTGACAAAACTACTCAAAGGGCTACAACTTCCACCACTAGCATCTAGACGAAAACAACAGAAACTAACATTCAGTTCTATTATAAAATAGTAGAGGAGTAAATTCCATCAATGCCTAGCAACGACTTTATTAATTTCCAACGTGAAAAAAGGAAAACAAGACAGCGTATATTCCAGGACTGCGAGACAATTCCAAATTCAATCAGGAACAATAACAGAGCAGTCATAATACCCAACAGCAACATGGAACAATATAGAAACTCATTCTTCGTGCGAACAGCCACAGATTGGAACCACCTGGACGACATCACTGTCGATGCGCAAGGAATAGAGGCATTTAAAGCATCGATCCCTACCAACTGGGATTAAACTAAGCTAAGTATCGCATGCGTACTGAACCCCCTCCGCATTAAAGCCATTTTGGTCTCTGTGGAGTATAACATATAGATAGAGCCAATTGCAGCCGAGGCCGAGAGGGTTTCGTTAAAATGTTAAATTGACATGGATCAAAGCACACAAATGAGCCCCTGTGATTTCATTTACTATGTTGATAGAGTCATGACTGCATACAATAAATTGGAGAACTCTTGCATCAGTATTTGTTAATTGGTCAATTCCACCACTGACACCGTTACACACAACGGATCTCTGAAAAATCTAATAGACATATCAAAGACGCCAGGCCGGGGTGGTCACTTCAGACTCAATGGTTGTAGCCATGATGTTACGCATACAAACGCGAGGATTAATCAACAATATTTGATGTTAATTTTACCATACGATGCTATAAAATATGTTTAACAGATTATTTTAAATAAAAAATAATACCCGGGAGAAAAACAAACTCACCCAGTGCGTTACCGGAAGCGTACAGACTGTTGTAATTTTCATGGTAGAAACCGACTCGCTCGCAAAGATCCGGTAATAGTGACGTTTCGACTACTAGCAAAACAAGAAAATGCAGTAAAGCTGCTGGACACCAAACCATTTTATGAAAATGACTTACTGACAGTCCACAAACCACGAGGGAACGGATCCTGCATACTTTAATCTATTTAATTATAATCATATAAATTGTAAATGGCATTAATTGTGTTGTTCAGAATATTCAGTTCACGCTCAATATCTAGTTGTAACCGCACGTTTTGGGCCAAATGTCAATGATTTGGTAATAATGTCATCTTCTAAGAGAGAGAGAGAGAAGCCGGGGACATAAGACGATTTACATAAACTATCATTTACACCTTTTGTCAAAATTGCAGCAATTTTTGCATATATAATTCTTTTGACAATGTCCCTATTTGACTATTTTGGATAAAATATCAA